CTCGAAAGCGCTACTGGCAATAACGAGACGAGCGATACACAATCACAATTTTGATGAATTTCAAACCACTAAAGTTGCTCAAAATACCGATTAAGTAATTGATAGCACCAAAAGTTGTGTATACAGTCTCGATTTTTTATGTTGGTTTTTTTTTTTTTGTTGCCCCTGAAGAAGTTCCATATTTGGAATCTGGTTGCATCCCATAAATTTTGGTTCTGCTTCTCAGAGTCAAATCCATTGACCGACTTTGAATTAAAATTTTCAAGAGCATTTTGGAACACTAATTCATGCCTTCATCAAATCTCGGGTGGACTTTGGAATCAGCCAATCCTCCATGAAGCGTCTCCAGTTGGTCCAGAATGCTGCAGCTCGTCTCTTAACTGATGCTCATAAGAGGGAGCACATAATTCCTACTCGGGGATCCATTGACCGGCTCATTTGAGAGTTTCTTTTGATCCTCCATGGATTTGTTTTCACATCTTGAAATGGCCTCGCCCCACCTCTGAGGTCCTCCCGGTGCCTCAGGTCTGCGGACCAGACACTCTTAGAGGTACTGAGGACTAAGCGAAGGCTCAGAGGGGATGGAGCCTTTTTCTGTTGCTGGTCCCTCTCTTTGGAATTGCCTAACTGAACGTTAGGCAAGCCCCCTCGCTGCCTTTCTCATTTTTATTCTTTGGCTTTTGACTCAGGATGAGACTTGAATTTTAGTTGGACGGCTTTTGTGCTTTCTACTGTCTTTGTTCTTAATTTATCGTATGAATTATTTTTGCTCCATGTACAGCACTGTGCAGACAGCGGTGGTTGTTTTAAAGTCCTCTAGAAATACAGTTGAGTTGAGTGTTATATTTTGTCCTCCTTAGGAGATACGTTGAGAAAATATTGGAGGAAATGGATTTATATCAGAAATTACATACATCCTCGCCTCTGTGAAACTCGGGGACCTCATAAACGGCACTGGTGCTGTTTATTGAATTATTTTACTCGGCAAGCGGTTCGTTTTATAAGCTTCAAATTGATTTTCACTTTCACATAAATTTGAAAACTTTGTGAGACGAGACCGAATTCAGGAAGGGTACATGATCCAGCATTATTAAAGAAGATTGTAAAGTTCCATATTAAATGTGGCAAAAAAAAATGTACAGGGTTTTGCTTTTGATTCAAGAGATTAATTTTTAAGAATTTATTGCGTGGGGATGTTTCAAAACTTGGATTTTTGAAGTTGCTATCAAAATGTTGCTTCAATTTTTCCTAGTTGTCAACGTGGAGCTGCTAATAAGTTGCAAATAAAACAACCCTAAGGTCGCAGCGTGAGCAACTGTGCGCGATGGTCTCTTTGTCATTCCAAGTGCTCATGAAATCACAATTGAGCAGATGTTATTCAAAGTGGTGCCGCTCCTCATCCTCATCATTCTACTCGGGAGCGACATTTTCTTGAAAGCTGCACGCAGAGTAGGCGGAGGCCCCGAAATTTTGGTGTTGTTTGACGGCGCCCGTGTGATACAAGCACTGATTATATGTCCATGTCGTGTCCACTCAATTGTGTTTCATTAAAGCGTTGTTCAGAGACAGGAGGAGGCAAATTCTCCGATGCGCGTAGGAGGGGAAAAGGCTCGCAGCTGCCTCGATTCTCCCATCGATTTAAAAGGGACAGAGTGTAAAACTATGGTTGATTTGTCTATGTTCATTATTTTAAAACGAACGATTAATGTCAATAATATGCAAACAAATATGTTCGATCACACTAATGAGATTAAAAAAAAAAATTCATTGCAAAGTAATCGTTGGGGGCGCCATCTTTCTACTACGGAATAGCGAAGGAGCCAAATTTAGCGAACAGAGTTTGGAAAAAGATTATTTCTTCGGCACGAGTAACAATATTTATGCTCTTATTCTCTCACTTGAGTGTATACTAGATATGATTTGGGCAAAGATAAAAAACTATGGTTGATTTGTCTATGTTCATTATTTTAAAACGAACGATTAATGTCAATAATATGCAAACAAATATGTTCGATCACACGAATGAGATTAAAAAAAAATGTCATTGCAAAGTAATGTTGGGGGCGCCATCTTTCTACTACGGAATAGCGAAGGAGCCAAATTTAGCGAACAGAGTTTGGAAAAAGATTTTTTTCTGCGGCACGAGTAACAAAATGTATGCTCTTATTCTCTCACTTGAGGGTATACTAGATATGATTTGGGCAAACTTATTCTTTGCACTTCAGCTGAATTTATGGTGGCGGTCTTGCGACTTTTGGACTCTCCGAGGCACCGTACTTCAAATTGCACGCGCTTCGAGTTGAGGTTGTTGCATTCTATCAGCGCACCAATAGATGGCACTAGACTCTACACACTGTCCCTTTCAGTCTGTCATGTACGCGCCTTCACGCCAGCTACGCTCTCTGGGTGGGGCAAACCTCAAATGTGGCCGTTCCCTGTCAGACTTGGCCTTGCACATATTCTCCCGTCGATTTAAGCTCATCTAATCAGAGGTGTATTTAGTGCACGCTCGTAGAATGCCTGTGTGTACCAGTAATGTTTTGTTGTTTCTCCACGACTGCCTTTTTCTACTGTACTAGTATACTAATGTTAAGTACAGTTTTTGTTTTGTCAGTAACAACTAGTAGCATGCATATGTTGCAAATGCCCAGTTTCGCCTTACAATAGATGGCACTAGACTCTACACACTGTCCCTTTTAGTCTGTCATGTACGCACCTTCACGCCAGCTACGCTCTGGGTGGGGCAAACCTCAAATGTGGCCGTTCCCTGTCAGACTTGGCCTTGCACATATTCTCCCGTCGATTTAAGCTCATCTAATCAGAGGTGTATTTAGTGCACGCTCGTAGAATGCCTGTGTGTACCAGTAATGTTTTTTTTTGTTTCTCCACTACTGCCTTCTTCTACAAGTATACTTATGTTAAGTACATTTTTTGTTTTGTCATTAACTAGTAGCATGCATTTGTTACAAGTGAGGATGAAGAGCTTACCAGTATGCCGAATGTGTAGAATAAATGCTCAAATGAAAATTGATGTTTGTCGTACGTCGCATGCCCTATAAGTCCGCGTGTGTGATATTCAGCAGCGAATTGCTCCATATGGTGTGGATCTTCCCAGTTGGAAAGGCAGCATCTCCGGGGACTGGACAGCTGTTCAAAAATGCAATCACAACAATTGACCAAATGGAAAGTAGTTCTGCGTGCAGCCATGAAACAAATGTTTATTATCATCGCCCTTTGTGGGGAGCACAAACTCGTCATAAGACAATAAAGGCATTCACTCTGTTCTGTCCTTTTGTAAAATATTAATTGGCAGCCTTTTTTTTTTTTTAACAGAACTTTGATTTGGTTATGGTGTGGATCTTCCCAGTTGGAAAGGCAGCATCTCTGGGGACTGGACAGCTGTTCAAAAATGCAATCACAACAATTGACCAAATGGAAAGTAGTTCTGCGTGCAACCATGAAACAAATGTTTATTATCATCGCCCTTTGTGGGGAGCACAAATTCGTCATAAGACAATAAAGGCTGTTCTGTCCTTTTGTAAAATATTAATTGGCAGCCTTTTTTTTTTAACAGAACTTTTATTTGGGTCTGATTTTGCTGAGAGGGTTAGTATGAATTTTTAATTGTCATTTCAAGGATTCTTGACAATTTAGGGCTAATGCCTGCCTGAAAAGCAGCAGTTTCCGATGTCGAACAATTCTTTGGATTTTTGGAACCGCTGTTTTGTTTTGCTCATGGCAGGACAGTTTGCACGTCCGCAGAAGATACGGCACTTGTATATTTCAGCGCAGCAGACCCGTAAGGCTCGAGATAAATACGCCGCGCGGCGCGCTTCTCCCATCTCACAAAACACACATCATCACTCACGCTCACATCACCCAAACCGGCGTCGGGTGGACGTGAACCGCAGCCGTCGAGCGTCCGTTGAGCGGCGTCCCGACGCAGTCACGGACGCTGTCGCCATCAAGGTGATGGATGGCGCCACAGAGCAGCCGATGGCGGAAGCCTTCCAAGCCTCGTGTGGACGAAACCTCGCCGGCTGCCGGGCGTGAGGCTGAATTAAAAACGAGTGACCTCGCTGTCTGGCAGTGACCATAAAACAAGAGAATGCGCAGCACTGGAGAGGATGCTGGAAAAAGTGGAAACGGTGGACCAACTTGCCCACCTGAGGGTGGGGGGGGGGGGACCTGTTGAAAAGCCAAAGGTGGCAAAAGTAGTCACAATCTGTACTAAAGTAGAAGCACAAATAATTAGTCATATGCATGAGGCCATTTTGGTAACCTGGGACAACGAAAAAAAAAACTTTTCTGGGCAAGAAATTGTTTCCCTGTCTTATTAGCTTGCAGCGTACTTGAAGTGAGAAGTTCAAAGACAGCGTCGACGCCAAATATGGAGATCAGCAAAAAGAAGGAACAGAAATGACGGTTAAAAAAAAAAAAAGGGGGACGGATAACAAAGGGTCCGCGGCAACAAAAGATCAAAGACAAAAGACTGCCAAAAACCGACGGCAAGGATCGACGGCAATGATCAAAAGACGATTCACGCAAATGAACGGAGCCGATGATGCAACGACATCGTCGACGCACCGGGAGCGGACACTGACAAATAACTGACAAGGAATCGGAAACGATGGAGGATCGGCGAAAAAGAAGGCCACAACTAACGAAGAAGGACACAACGAAGACTAAACAATGTGTCCCCCTAGCGGATACTCCACGAATTGCACCTTATTAAAAAGATTCCTTCCGTGTCTTTTATGCCATTTTTTTTTCACTTTAAAATGATCCTGCGGGCCTGATCGAACATCCGTGGGGGTCGGTTCCGGCCCCCGGGGCCGTACGCTTGACACCGCCGGTTTAAACAAATTACCGAGACTGCGAGGATGAGGTGAGAGAATCAAAATGCTCCACGCAGGCAGTGCAGATACATTTCGCAGCGGCGACGTAAAGCGCGCTGGCTTCTTTGCTAATTACAAAGCAGAGGCGCCATCCAGCCGCACGTTGATGCCAGCAGCTGGCGTCGGCTTGCACATGCGCGATAATGCGGCACGTCGGACCACGCAAAGTTTCTGGTGTCGCGTGTTGACATGCTGCGCTCGTAATGGGACACCTCACTTTTTTTTTTTTAATGCGCACGCTCGGCTGGACTGATGCCACGTTCGTCAGCCTATTTGCGATTCTACCCGAGAACAAGCCACAGGAGAGACGCATCAAAAGCCGCCGAGTCTAACTTCATTTGATCCGCCGGACGCCGACTCGCCGGCCTTGCCTTGACGCGTCTTTGAAGAAATGCGATCTGAAAAAAGGAGCCGCGACTAACGACTCAGGGGCGGCTGACTGTTTGGCTTCAAAGAAGTGAAGCAGTAAATGGCAAACGCTGCCCATGCGTCAGGTATCAAAAGCGGACGGCATCCAACTTAAGGAACACGCGTCAAGACTCGTCAGAAATGTTTTTGGGATCAACGGAGACGGCGGCGACGGACTGCTGGAGCGCGACTTACAGACTTAGAAGTGTCAGAAAGATCACCAAGGAATATTCAGTGGCAACAAAGTTTTGATGACAAAGGCTCAGGAACCGCAAAAGATCACCCAACGAAGGACCTTGAATCAATGTTGACACTAACAACGGATTGAAGAGGACAAAGCCGATGACGAAGGATAACAGCGACGAAAAATACACCCAAGAACAACGAAGACCCTGACAGAGAGGAAACGGTAAACTGAAAATCTTGCCGAACCCTCCAGAACAAAATTCCTGCACAGAAAGGGCCGTCAATCGTCTTTTTGGGGGCGTCATCTCAAAGCACTCGCGTGCGATGGCGTTAGAGGACGTGTGTAAATCCCGAAGCCGCGCCAAGCCCGCGAGCCTGTTGGACTTTGACGTCCCGGTTGCCGAGTGTCTTCAAGAAAATCCCCCGCGGTCCGGCACGCCGCAGAATCCTCTGCCCTTCGAGATGTCCCACGGCACCACCACCCTGGCGTTCACCTTCCAGGGCGGCGTGCTGGCCGCGGGGGACACCCGCTCCAGCTGCAGCGGCCGGGTCTCCTGCCCCGACGCCGAGAAGGTGAAGCCCATCCACAGCCACCTGGTGGCTACCAGCTCGGGCACGTCGGCCGACTGCACCCTCTGGAAGCGGATCCTGGCTCGGGAGCTGCGGCTCTACCAGCTGCGACACGGCCGCCGGGTGTCGACGGGCGGGGCCGCCAAGCTGCTGTGGCACATGCTGCTCCCGTTCAAGGGCACCAAACTGTGCGTGGCCACCACCTTGTGCGGGTGGGACGAGAGCGGCCCCGCCATCTTCTACGTGCACAGTGACGGCAGGCGCCTACGGGGTACGCTCTTCTCCGTGGGCTCGGGCTCGCCTTACGCCTACGCCGTGTTGGATCAAGCGGTGGAATCTGGGATGACGGCGGAGGAGGCCACGCGGGTGGCGAGGGAGGCGGTGTACAGAGCCACCCACAGGGACGCCTACTCGGGCAATTGCGTGGACATCTATCTCGTCACCTCGACGGGGTGGACTCGCAGGGAGCGGGAGGACTTAAAAGAAGAATATTACAGGGAGAGGAAAAACCGCCAAGGTGGAACAGTCTGAATTCTGAAAATGACAGGGGTGCCCAAGCACGTTCCTTGGGGGACCCCTATCCAGCCTGTTTTCGATGTCGCCGTTTTCCAACGCACCTGATTCAAATGATCGCGATCGTCAGCAGGTTTCTCCGAGCTTGCTGACGAGCTGCTGATTTGAACCGGGTGTGTTGGAGGAGGCTGGATCGGGGGCTCCTGACGATCGGACTTGGGCGCCGCTGTGCTCGACAGTTCTGAGGTTGGGGGTTTGGAATCCCGTGTGGCGTTTTCGTGTTCTCCCAACGCTTGTGTGGATTTTCTCTGGCTTCCTCCCACATTCCAAGAGCACACATGTTAGTTTCGGAAGCGGTCCGGGGTGACAAGTTGGAGCGGCTCACAATTTATGTACGCGATATCATATCAGTCAACATCAATTCAATAGCGCTTTCATTTTTAGGGGGGGCTTTGTTTGGCTTTTTCACCACCTTTATTGGGATTTTTCCCAAGGACCAGAGCGTACGGTGACTACAGTTTAGCCCTAAGCTAACCGTCTGTTGTTTGCTTTAATTATTATTTTTTTTAAACACTTCAACCTATATGCAGCGGTACCAGTGGTTTCATTTGTTCCCTAACCGAGCTGGTAACTTGTTCCAGCCCCCCCGATACTAAAATCTGAAAAGATAATAAAAATTTCAAGAATATCAAGAACTAAACCGGTTTCATGACGCGTCATGAAACCAAACGTCGCAGTTGCACACAGTAGCAGACTGAGTACGTTTTAGTGGGTCATGGCCGCTCGATTGACTTAAGGAGCTCAGATTCCTCCTCCGCTGGGCCTTTTTTTTTTTTTTTCCACCCTCATGTCTACTCCATGCTCCTTGTGAGTGTATTCATTTTGTATGTGTGCATTTGGCTGCTTGTCCTGTTCAATAAACAGCCCAAAGCGCATCGTGAGTGTGGCTCCTCTTTTTTTTTTTTTTTCCACTTCACTTATCTGAAAACCACTTGCAAATCTCGTTTGATATTTCAGGAAAAAAAGTATATATATTTTTTTTTTCTTCAGGAAAGAGTTGAATGCGTACTTCTCCTTTTCCATGCATATCTGGACAGAGCGTGAGTACTTTTCCCACCTCTGTGTATTTCTTTCAATGTCCTCGCAGGACCTCGCAGGTCCCAGTGCAGAGCAAAAATGTCTCTCCGCGTTGTCAAGCGGCGGAAACGTGCTCAGGCATCTTTTCAGCAGATAGGAAATTAATGAAGAGCGCAGGCAGTTGCCCCCGGGCTTGTTCGTCATCTGATTTTGGCCGCGCATATATCGGTGTCTCTCGTAAACAGCTCGCGCTTTGTCTGCATCGGCGATAAAATGCACACCGCGCTACCCGGCATTTTGATGTGGCATTTGTTTTTTTTTCATCATTCCAAGCTACAACTGATGGCGCATGCACTGTAGACTCCAACCTTTGTTGTCCCACGGACCGGTTTAATGCCAGACAATATTTTCAGGGAGTGGCCTTGACAAAAAAATGATACGACCTGTATGAAAACGGTGGTATTTTCTAAACATAATAAGAATCACGAATCATGACACGAGGAACGTCCGATCTGGCCACAGCTCTATGATCGCTATGGTAACGTTTAAACCTGCCTTCAAAATAAGATACGAAGTGCATGAAAAATGCGACTCACCATCGCCGCATATTATGCAGAGTGGGCTCGGTGCGTGCAAATTTCCTGTTGAGACGAATCCGTATTTTAAGTAGGACTCCTGAGATTGTCTACTAAATAAATGTAGCCCTTTTTTTCTCGAAAGTTTTACGATCTATTCTGAACAACTAGTATGGACAACCACTCAATTAACCGCGTTTATTCCGATGGATAATTTTTTGTTTGATCTGGCAACGTCATTGTTTTCAATTCAAGTCAGCCATATTAAATTTCGTCGCTACTGGTGCCAGTTACTTGTGCGAATGTCTTGATTGATTTCCGTAAGGCCCCACTGAACGCTAACGAGACGACTATTGATTGATGGCCTCACACCACGGGGATTCCTCGGAACTTCCCGCTTAATGAATGAGCAAGATTGTGCCGAAGTCGCCCGTTTGAGTGTGGCATTCCGCTCGTAAATTAAGTCCTCACCCGCCGAGGAAAAAGAGACGAAATGCTATCCGATGCGTCTTGTTGAGCGCCCGGATAGCACAATGGCGAACGGCCTGCAGTGCTGCGCGCGCGGATTATGCCGAGATGTCAACACGTCGACTCGATAATTAAGCGTGCACTTTTACTCCTGCCCATAGCGAGCGTGCGCATCATTACAAATAAATCCCAGGCGGAGTGGCGAGACCACGCTCGGCGCATCCTAAGCCTGCTCTTAACGAGACAAGTATGATTGAATGGAGCCAGCCTCATCCATCTAAAACCTGATTTGGAAAGTTCCTTAAGAGCATCATCTATGACTGACGGGGCGATGAAGGAAAACACATTTGCCTTGCCAATTTTCGCAACATTACCATAATAACCCACGGGATACGCCGAGAGTTGTCATCAAGATCAAAAGAAGGCCAAATCCAAATCACAATCAAATTTCCATTCAGGCGCTCCGCGATGACATTTTAAAAGCAACTTTGCCGACACCGCAGGCAGATGACACGATGATGATCGTTTCTTTCGCTGTGCTGTGTTGAGAACCCGCTGAACTTTGCCCCCGAAGTCTTCTCCCCGAACCAGAAGCGATGGATCGATCACCTCTTAGCTTTGCAATGTGCTTGCGCAGAAGTTTTAGCGCCGATAACCGCACCGCACACCCGTGAGGCATTTGGGCAGCAACTAAAGTGATCTGACTCTTCTCTCTTCACGGTTCCCTTGACGTGGTGCTCACTCACGGTGTACTCGCATTGGCCACCGAGGGCAGTAAAAGGCAGACATACTTGGAGACCGTCACAGGTGACTCAGCAAGATGAAGCCATATCAGTCATTCTTCACGGAGGATAAAGAATGTATGTCTCCGAGTATTCTTGTACACCCATCCTTGGCTTGATCCCCTTTTACGTTTGTATGTTCGTTGCTGAAAAGGGGCAACCATGATATTGACGCGATTCGTTAGCACTCGACAGTAAAGTTAGCACTCAGTGTAACATGTATCAACATTTTTGCAGTAAGGCGGAAAATGCTTCAGTGTTGTTTTGGTTCGCTTCTTGCGTTTGGAAAATAAGAAAACAAGAAGCTGTTGCTGGCTAGCAGGCGTCGCAACAGATTGGCTCGGGTTCTTCGCGGATGGTCACTTGTTGCGAGGCAGAATTTGTAGGGCTCGATTATAACTGCCCCCGAAGCCGATTTTAAAAATTAGCAACACTGCCAGGGAGCTGGAAGAATGGTTTTTTTTTTTTTTTGGTTTTGTGACGGAAAATGCTTTGTTTACATCTCGGCCATTAATAACCAGAATGGAAAATAACACCAAAGCTGTTCTTCAAATCACATGACAGGATTTGTGACTAAACCCGCTTGAGAACTGCGTATCCTCGCAAAGGGCTTTGTGAGATGCTTTTGTTTCCACAAAGAAGTGATATTAAATTCCCGTATAAACAAGACGGCCGGGAGATCTCCCGACCTTTTGATTGGGATTAACGTTCCGGAATCCGGACGGATTAGTTGCGAGTCAAGACTCCAGCATCTTAAAAACGGAGGCAAGATCGTGTGCGTCCTGCGCCGTCCGCCATGTTCGACTTTTTCCCCATCTTGAGAGAATTACAGTAGTGGAGGGTTTTTTTTGTTTTTTTTTTCCCTCCCCCTCTGTTTGCCTCCGTCGGGATTTCCGCTGAGGGAGCAGCTAGTGGTCCTCCAGAGCGCCTTCCTCTCTGAACTCCCAACGCAACCGAGTTGAACGCGTACAAGAGTGGTTCCCCCCCCCCTACACAAGCTCCTTGATGGAGGTAATAAGCTTCATGAGCAAGCGAAGCGCAGCGGCACATAAATTGTCTGGGAAACGTTCACTTCATTAAAACTATTCCTCCAGCCGGGAAATAAAAATCCCATCAAAGAAGCGTGAAGCCGAGGAGAGAAATTACACTCGTGTGAAGCGGGAGAGAGTTAAAAAAAAAAAAACGCTCACGGTGAAATTCCATCGTTGTTCCACGCGTCCTTGACGAACGAGTCCCTCTCGGCCAGCAGATTTGCTGGACCCCAACATGAGGTACCCGCATCATCTCATTAAAGCTGCGAGCAGCACCCCCATTTTCCATATAGGAAATGAAACTCTTGGCACCCATGCTGCCCCCCACAATCGGACGGCGTCGTCAAAAAGAAGTCGCCAACTGAACGTCGCCCATCTGTCTTTGATACGTTCTACCCATTGGAGGTCATCTGGAGGGAATTCCCTTGTCGAGATAGCGAATATGGTTGCTTTAAACCAAAATGGGCGGCTTTCTCTTTAATTTCGGGCATGGATCCGTGCGATTTTTTTTTTTTTTTTTGTGTGTGCATCCTGTGATGAAAAATGTCCACCAAATTTTGGACCAATTGGTGAAACTGGTGTCAAGGTTAATTGATGACTTTTTAACTTTCCAATGTAACCTGAGCAAGAAATGGCTGCTTCAAACCAAAATAGCCAACTTCCTGTTCACTTAACAGAATGGGTTTTTGCTACTTTTTAAAAAAATATCCTAATACGATAGACATGTCCACCAAATATTGTCTTAACTGTTGTCTGAGCTAATTTTTGAAATTTTCCATTGGAAAAATGGTCGCTCCAAACCCAAATGGATGTCTTGCTGGTAAATTTTCCAGCTTGAATTTTTGAGACTTTTTTTGCACATTCTGCTTTGAAAGAAAAGTCCACAAAATTTTATACCGATTGGTGGAACTGGTGTCAAGGCTAATTTATTACTTTTTAACTTTCCAATGTAACCTTCTGAGCAAGAAATGGCTACTTCAAACCAAAATGGCCAGCTTTTGAGATTTTTTTTTTTTTTGTGGCTCCTGATATGGTCGACATGTGCACCCAATTTCCGACCAATCGGTAAAACTGTTATCGGGGGCTAATTTGTCAAACTTTCCGAGTGGCATCACTGTGTGACAAATGGCTGCTCCAAACTAAAATGGACGATTTGCTGTTAAATTTCCAGCATGGGTTCTTTCGACTTTTTCGTGCAACCTATCATGGCTACCAAATTTTGTGTGGATTCTTAGTGTTAGGGTGGGGGGAATTTTTATTTTTTAACCTTACAAGGGTTGTTACTGTGTAAGAAACTGCTATTTCAAGCGCTTATCTCCAACTTGTTTAATTTACAGCATGGCTTCTTGAGATTTTATCATGTGTCAAATAATGCTACCCCCCCACCCCGACCCGCCCAGTTGTATTTGCCAAACCGCTGCCGCTTGTGAACTAAGTTGAATTGAGTTCAACTGCCACCAAGTTTGCGCTCGCAAGTCAAAGGTGTTGTTTGATGAATCATTGATTCGCCGCTCCAGATGATGCACATGGCACAGATGTGCGCTGTCACGTTGCATTATTTTATCATATCGGTGGCTCGTATCATTTCGACTCACGCTGGTGGTGCGAACAGGTGCATGAAGTCCCCACTGAAGGCCCAGGTACCAAATGCACAGCTCGGCATGAGCCAAAAGTGAGCTGAGTCCAAATTTGTATGTGTGTGCGCGCGCGCCGCGCACCAATGTCTGAGTGTGTGCGCGCAAGTGTGTATGTGTGTGTCGTTTGTATATAAGCGAGACCCCCCTAAATGCTTGGCAAAGTGTCCCTCCTCAAAAATAGCAAGCTTTTAGAGAGCCGCCTCCTCCACGCTGAAGACTAATGGAGGGAAAAGACGAGTAAGGGCGGATGAGAGTGATGAAGAGAGAGAGAGAGAGAGAGAGAGAGAGAGAGAGAGAGAGAGAGTGGAGGGGAGCGAGAGAGAGCGATAGAGAGAGCGAGAGCGAGGGAGGCTGGGTGAAGGGGACAGACCGCGCGCCAAGCTCACATGAACCTCGGCGTCCGCCCTCCTCCACGCGCAGGATCGCTTTCAGCAGCACGCCGGGTACGACAATCCAAGCTTGACTTTCTTTCTTCTTTCTCACCATTTTTCTTTCTTTTTTTTTTTTTTTTGTGGCTTGCACGTGCATGGAGGAGGTGCTCATCATCATCATCATCATCATCATCATCGTCCATGTTGCCATCACAGCATCACCTGCAGCCACTGGCGCCTCATCATCATCATCATCATCTTCATCAGTATCAGCAGTGTTGACTTGGTTATAATACAAGGGCTCAGCCCGAGTGTGTGAATCACATCAAGGGCTGGGGGTGCAGTTGTGGAGTGGGGCTACATCAAGTAGGTCACTTTATTTCATGTTGTTATTATTATTATTATTATTATAATACTGTCCGGCCTCTTAACAAGACAAGGTCATGCCGCGGGCTGTTTTAGTGCGTCTCTCCGTGAACTTGGGAAGCACTAACAAGCAGGGCCAGATGTGCGTGTGTGACTGTGTGAGCGCACGCGTGCATGTGTGTGTGTGTGTGTGTGTGTGTGTGTGTGTGTGTGTGTGTGTGTGTGTGTGTGTGTGTGCATGCGTGCGATACTGATGTTTCACCAATGTGCATTGTCAGTTCTTAGATCATGCGAGCAGGAAATTCAAAAAGTCCCATCGGAAAGTGAGAATGGATCCACTCATCAGCATTCACCGAATTCTTTCTGAAACGTGCAGGCAATGTATGGAGGAGGAAAAAAAAATATCATTCTTTTAAGTCTAATTTTTAACAGTGGTTAACTTAGTTGTACATTTGAAATTGTTTTTTTTTACATATTCTGAGATTTTTTTCCATATTTTCAAATATATTTATTTAAAAAAATTTAATAACATATAGGGCAGCCCGGTGGGGTGGACCAGTGGTTTGCACCTCGACCTCACAGTGCAGAGGTACCAGGTTCAATTCCGGCTCCGGCCTACCTGTGTGGAGTTTGCAAGTTCTCCCCAGGCCTGCGTGGGTTTTCCCCGGGTACTCCAGGCTGGTTGAGCACTCTAAATTGTCCCAAGGTGTGAGTGTGAGCATGGATGGTTGTTCGTCTCTGTGTGCCCTGCGATTGGTTGGCAACCGGTTCAGGGTGTCCCCCCGCCTACTGCCCGAAGACACCCCCGCGGTTTGTGTAAAGTGCCCGTGTGTAATTTATTTGTGTGATTTCACGGCTGGCATGCAAACTAATATTATCGATGAGCCTCGTGAATGGTTTGTTTGTTTTGAATAATTTCAACGACTGAAGACAGTCATATAAAATAGGATCATGACCGTATACATGCTTGATGCATGGTGTTGATGCTTTATGATCCTCGCCGTCGGAAAGACTTTGCCGCCATCTTGTGGCATTTATACGCAAGGACACCCCCTTTTTGTGTCAATTCGTTGCATATTTTGACTCTTTATGGCAGGGCTCGTTTCCCAAACTCACCAAATAGCAACGATTCCCTGAATTGCTATATGGACGTGTATGTAAGTGTGTGTATGTGTGAGTGTTCTTGTCTTTCTGTCTTCATGAGGCCCAAATCTTGACATTCGCCTTTTAGTGTTGGGACATTTTTCCTCATGGCGACATTTTGTCTTGATCACATGAGAAAAATGCTCTGAGGTCCTTTCACCCTTTGAGTCATGGGTGTGTGCCTCTATTCGTGAGTGTGTGTGGGTGTGTTCTTGTCTTTCTACCTACATGTGACACAAATCTTGATATTCTACCATTTCATGTGGGGGTGCAGATATTGATTGATTTGTGGATATCTGTAGTGGGTAACTCCAACTCCATACACATGAAAAGCAAAATTGATTTTGTCCTCGGAAAAATGACAGGCTGTGTGTGTGTGTCGGTGTGTGTGTGTGTGTGTGTGTGTGTGGGTGTGTGTGTGTGTGTGTTTGTGTGTGTGCGCGCGCGCGGGTGTGCGCACTAAGAATGGGTGAGAGCTCTATAAGCACTAAGGCGACCAGAGATGCTCAAATGGGACCGAATGTGTCTCCGCTTTGGTCATTTCAACCCGCCAAGCTTGTACCCTCTCATGTACTTTAGCCATTAACCCCCCCACACTCCTCCCTCCCTCCATCTATCTATCCATCCATCCAACCATGCATCCATTCATCTCCTTTCTCTTACTCAGTGCCTCCATCTACGACGAGATGTAAAAGGCCTGGCATGCATTGCACGGCGGGTTCTATTTTTATTAAGAAAAATGGAAGTTGTTGCGGAGCAAAGTGCGACGGGAACAGCGATTTGCCATTTGGAGTGATGTCGCCACTCATCATCGCGACCAGCAAATCACGCTTTCAGTTTCATGCTTACACACGTGCGAGCGCACGCACACACGCACACACACACACACACACACACACACACACACACACACACACATACGCACACAGTCGCAACAAGAGTGAATGACACAAAGCCGCCAAAGCTAAGCTGTGCTAAAAAAGCACAATAACTGCAGAGACAAAAGTGCTTCAGAAGACATACTTTTTTCCGTTTTTTTTTTTTTGGGAGGGATTTAAAATGAGGCTTTTACATCGCTGGTGTGAAGCGTTACATATGGATGATGATAAACGGTGTCATAAATGTGCTAATCCACGAGGCGAGCGTCTCTTTGGGAGGGAATTGCATTGGGAATTGTCTGGTGTGGTGAAAGGAAACATACCGTACTTGGAAACTTAAGTGGGTGGTCTCGTATGGATCCTTCATAGCGATGAGATGTTTTAAATTAAATATATTGCCATAGAGGTGAGGTGTTGTATCAACAAATACCAAAAAAAATATATTAACCGTAATAACAACAAAAATGAACAATGTTACAATGCTATGCTAGTGACAAATGATTACAAATGGATACTTTTTTTTTTTTTTTTTTTTTTTTTTAATGTATCATTCAGACAGACGTGAGGCCATCAGTAGTAGACTGATCTTTGCCTTTTTTTTTTTTTAGACACTTGCGCCGTTGTGGGGGTTAACACAGCCGACTTGCTTCCCGGCCAATGGGAATGGCTCCTCTCAGTTCCTTTAAAGTCAGTGCAGGAGAGTGCATCGAGTCAACATGGCTGGAGTCCATGCAGGAGATTAACGTTTGTGAAGTACGTTTATAAAGGAACTGCAAGATCTCCACATGCAGATCATGTAAAGAAAGTCTATGAGATCCATCACACATATCCACAGAGCTCACAAATCTGCCTGCACCTTGATCAAATCCACCAAATCGCCTTCCACCACCTGCGCCACAACTTAGACCTGCTTCCAGCTGGTCTAATGTTTAGTCTAATTTCAGCCACCAAATTGTCTACTCTGGAGCAGTGTGACGGCAGTAAAGTTTCTCAAATCAGTTCTAAACTGCAGTCAGGAACCGACAAAAAACTTTTGTCTTGGTGCAAAATTGCAACGCAGCTCCAATGTCCGGTGATTGGTGAGCCCTGCGCAAAGGAACAATATGCTTGCAAAAACTGCAAACCCGAAGCTGACAAATGGCGATGGCTTCACATCTATCCAAATGATAGCGAAATGAAATGAAATTGAAAAAAAAGTGTATCGTCACTTTTGTTCCGCGGTACAAAAGATTTATTTTGATGATACTTCCTAAATGTGTGTGGCAAGGCTTACAGCACGCGACTCGGTCGTGAGAGTCGATGATTGACACGGCAACCAATGAGAGCGTATCCTCCCCTTCCACAAGCTGGCAAACAGCATCACTCCGTAAGGGTTCACGGAACCACAAGTTATTACGTAGCGCCACGTTAACTGCCGTGACAATGTTGTGTTTCTCTTTTACGCCCTCGTCAAAAAGCGGCCGGGGGGCTCATTTGCATGTAAATGGATCAGAGCGCATTTGTTTAGTCGCCGTCATTATTCGCGCTACGTTTTAGCCGCCGCATTGATCACGCGCGTGGCGGAATTTCCGCATTTGAATCCGACACGTAACTATGACCAGATCTGTTTTCATGTGCGTTTGTGTGTGTGTGTGTGT